CTCCATCTTTGGCTGCAGAGAATATAATCAATCTGATTTCGATATTGCCCGTCTGGTGATTTCCATGTATAGAGTCGCCTCTTGTGTTGTTGGAAAAGAGTGTTTGTGATGACCAGCTTGTTCTCTTGACAAAACTCTGTTAGCCTTTGCCCTGCTTCGTTCTGAACTCCAATGCCAAACTTCCCTGTTGTTCCTTTTATCTCTTAGCTCCCTACTTTAGCATTCCAGTCCCCTAGAATGAGAAGAACATCTTTCTTTGGTGTCAGTTCTAGAAGGTGTTGTAAATCATCATAAAATTGTTCAATTTCAGTCTCCTCAGCAATGGTGGTTGGTGCATAAACTTGGATTATTGTGATGTTGAAAGGTCTGCCTTGGATTCATATTGACATCATTCTATCATTTTTGAGATTGTATCCCATTACAGCTTTTCCCACTCTTTTGTTGACTTGAAGGCTACTCCATTCCTTCTACGGGATTCTTGCCCACAATAGTAGATATGATAATCATCTGAGTTGAATTCACCCATTCCTGTCCATTTTAGTTCACTGATGCCCAGGATGTTGATGTTTATTCTTGGCATCTCGTGTTTGACCACCTCCATCTTCCCAAGGTTCATGGATCTTACATTCCAGGTTCCTATGCAGTATTTTTCTTTGCAACATTGGACTTTCCTTTCACTTTCCATTGCACTTACATTGTGGTAATTAGCCAACAGGATTCCAGCTTTGTTATTGTTGTTCTCTATTTTAGACTTTCTAATTTTTATAAATTGTTATTTCAAGTACGTTTACTGAGATGTGTTCTTGTAATTCCCATAGTGTAGCTGAATTGCTTTACAAGCAATCTACGGTAAGGTGACAGGAGTGCTAGTCAATACTGGTGACGTAAAGGGTGAAATTTCTGCACCATTATTATAATAAAAGGAACCACTTATGAAGAAGTAACGTGTAGAAGTTTTAGTTTGGAGATTGTGATAAAATATCCAAGGATCTGTGCCTGAGATCTTGAAGAGCTGCTGCTAGTCTCAATTGTTGTTGGCTCTTCGTAGTTTTACAACTTTCTCATGGGAGCAGTTGGAGGTGTTGGAGCCATTTTGGAACATCTGCATTGGGAATGTCTGATAGTTATTGAATTCTGGGAAGATGGCTAAACTTATCAATCTGGTTTTGGAACCTGTGGGAAATTGTCCTATGGTCATTACTATGAAGGCAAGAAGGCCAGCAACCTATTGTAGGCTGGTAGTTTTCTTGTGTCTACAAGGGAGGGGGAACCCCAGTGCCCAACAAATAAGAATTTGAAAGTTGCTCGTTGTGCTTATTACTCAGTTGCTTTTTAAATTTATCAATCTGTTTATCAGTATGCTTATTTTTCATATCAGACGCCCAACAAATAAGAATTTGAAAGTTGCTCATTGTGCTTATTACTCATTTGCTTTTTCAATTTATCAGTCCGTTTATCAGCCTGCTTATTTTTCATGTCAGACTGTTATCTATGGCAGATGTCTTTCTTGGTAATTCAGCCTCCCCCCCCCCAAAAAAAAAATATCTTGTAGTGCATTTTCCCGGCTTCAGATAATTAAAGATTATACTGTCGTGCTGATGTGGGATAGATAGAGGACCATTCAAACTTTTATAATTTCATTTTTGATGGTTTAATCTAGAAAGTGGTATCAGTTGCTTAATTGTGCTTCTCCTTTGCTGTCTGTATCTATGCGTAGTATGAAAGGAGCCTCCCTAAGCTGTGAGCAATTTGGGTGCCCCCGAGGCAATGATAGCACCCTGTCAGCGGATCCTTCCTTTCTGGAAGCATCATTGGATTCCTTCCGACATGAGCAAACAAAAACACCTCTGGATTCAGAATTTGTTGTGGCTGCATGTTTTTCAAAGAACTGTCATAACTGGTTGTCATGTAATTTTCCAGCTGTGAATCTGTGGTCAGGATTTGACATTGTCATAATGTCTTCATCAGTTGTGCCTGGAACTAATTCTGACAGTCATTTTTGTGTGTACAGAGGATACTTTTGAAGTGTCACATGTCATTTCACATTCAGCGTGTGTATGTGCTCTTTCTTTGTCTGTCTCACTTGCGTATGACTTTGCTTCCTCAGCACAGTCATGCTGTAAACTTGAGAGCAGCAGTAATAATTGTCCTCTGACAGTGCTCCTTTCCCTTCACATTCATACTTGAGATATATATAGCTGAACTAGCAAAATGTGAAACTATTCCTTCTATTTCTGATGTTCACATAAGGCAGAAGTGGCAGGTATTAGCAGATCAAGGAGAACCCTGACCTTTGCAGGAAAAAAAATCCCTAAAGGGGCATTGCAGATACCTGGATGGCTAAGCATGCTTGATGACCACCGAATGCTTACTGGCTGTTTAAAAAGGTTAAAGCAGGGGAGTGGTGTTTCCTGGAAGAGGGCACAGCTGGGTGACTGAAACAGTGAACAGGAGCGTTCTGCACTGCAACATTTTGTTGTAGATCTCACCTATATTCTGCGTAACAAAAATACCGAAAGGATAAACTCCTGAAGTTATGAATTTCTGTACAGTATACTCATGCTTCCCCATATATGTGATGCAAATATTTTTTATTTTCATTTTTCCCCTAGGTTTCATCGATTTCTTGATGTTAGTAGGCATAAAGTGGAGAAAATAGTAGAAGGGTAAGAATGTTTTGCTTTTATGACATTAATTGAGTTGTTTTATTTAGAAAGATTCATTGACACATGCTTAATCTTTTGACATAGAATTTATGAAAAGCTGGTTGTTCACTCAGACCTTGTTAAGGCTGCAAGCTGGAAGAGGTTAACGGATGAGTTTCCGAATTTGCCTCTCCCAACCACTGAAGGAACAAAGGTAGGCAGTTTTTATAGAAGATGTCTATCAATTGTGTCCTTTCTTCTTTGTATTTTATTTTGTTGCCGGTCACTTTGTAAAAGAAATGATCTGTTACAGAGTGTCTAGCCACAAAACAAATACACTTCTCCCTTGAATTGCATGGGTTTGAGCAGCACGGTTTCGGTTATACACAGATTTAAAATAAATAAATATTTCAAACAATAAATATTCCATAAGTACTGTGCTGCTGTTTGTCTCCAGAAAGAGGTCTGCGAAAGGTGACTTATCGAAGCCCCTGTTGGTGGTGTTGCGGTGGCCCCTGGTCAAATGGCAGTGGCTCAGGCAGCCCCCTCTCCTGGCAGGGTGGCTCCAGGTGGGGGGCAGGGAGGGTGCTGGGGCATGCCAGGAGGTCAATCAACTATTTATGTTTTGTAGTTGGGGGGGCATAAAAGTTTTACATGGATTCTGAACTACAAGGGGGTTTGGCACCCCTAATACCAGCTTTGTAGAAGGGAGAAGTGTACAAGGAAGAAAGAAGGTTCTTTTTGTGTTTGCATGACTATTAGATGTTTAGGTAAGAGACACACAGCACTACATATTTGGAGTAAATATTGTAAGTAGGCTAGCACTGAGATTAGGTGTACTTAACAAGGTATTGAAAAGCAAAGGAATATTGTCATTTTGTGCTTGGAGATTTCCAAAGGATTCCTCTGCAGCTGTTGTTCAACAAAAGATATTGTGGTGAAGATGGAGATGCTTAGCGGGCTGCTTTTTAAAAATGTTTAATTTAATTTGTTTGTTTGTTTGATCAGAAGCCCACTTGATAGGAGCACTTACTTTCAGGTTATGAAGAAAAATCACAGTATTTCAATTAGTTAGGGAAACCTATGAGAGACTTGTCCTTTGCAAGTGATTGTTTTTAATACATGGGTATATTTGTGTTTAGATTCATCCCTGGAAAAAATGTTGTGAGCCTTTAGAGTCTCCATTCTCATCACAGCTCTTTATCTCAGAATGCTGTTAACATTTTCTGCTTGAAAAAATGTGAAAGGGTTCTTCTGATGGATGGAACTTGTATGGATTAAACATTTAGTGGTTATTATGAAATTTGGAAACTGGATTCCAGTGATTTTTTCACTGGTTCTGTTCATCTTCTGAAGTTGAAAAACTTTTATTCCAAAATGTAGGTCTCACCTAAATGATCTGCACTGTTCTCTAGACTGATGTTTAGTTTAATAAGTGGACTTGCATGTCTGTTCTGTTCCTGATTCTGCTAGGTTTCTGCCACAATTTGAAGGTGTTACATTGTACTCCTAAGCCGTCCATGGTGCTAGAATCTACGTCATTCATCTTCTTAACTGCTAACGAATCTTGATGTCCATTTGATTTAATGTGGTCTTACCAAATCTGGTAATTGTTGTTTTATTTGGTTGTAAACCACCCAGAGTGGCCTTCGGCTGGATGGGCAGTATATAAGTCAAACAAATAAAATGGAATAAAATAAATCTGTACCTGTTGTTTAATTACTTGTTTGTCTTCTGTATTTAAGACAGATACTCATTATGCCATACTCTCTCTTCTGCTGTGCTTATCTGATTCTCCTTCCAACACTTGTTATGCAGAGAAACCGAGAGAGAAAGAAGTGGGTAAGTTTCAGTATATTCCATATATCTACAAAATGATAATTACAAAATAATTAGAAAACCAAGTGGAAGAATGTACCATATTACACTCTTGAGGTCTTCTGTTTCTTGATTGTTAAATTCATATAAGTTCCTGTTCTGTTTAATAAATGGTGGTGATCAGGCTGTCTGTGTATATCAGGGTGGGCAACATTTTTAATGCTGAGGACATTTGTTTAGGGAACATCTCTCAAGGACCACGTGCTGGCAGAGTTTGCAGCTGGAAACCTCCACAGAGGTAGCCAAAGTCAAAAGCCCACCCTTTGTTTCTTGCTTTCTCTCTTCCTCCTGACATAGTGGGCTGCTGAGGAGAGGGTGATCATTCCCAGAGAGGCCTAAAGTGGTTCATTCTAGAGGGGTTTTGAGATCAGGCTGAGGGCCATTGAAACTCCATCAATTTTTAGCTACATTTTGAACCTGCGGGATGGGAAGTCACCGAACATGCCAGTGAAGCAATTAAATATAGCATAGTATGATTTTCCTCCCTAGCAAAAGAAGAATTTGATTGGGGAAAATACTTAATGGAAGGTGAAGAATTTGACTTTGAGCCTGATTTAGAAACACCGGTAAGTAGTATGAAATGGTACTGTATAAAAGTGCAGGGCAAATTGGCAAACTGTTTCTGTAGTTCTTAGTCCCTTCCAATCTGTGCCTCTTAAACTGACAGTGATCCACATTCAGTAGTGAAAATCTGTGGCTAGTTTAGAAATACCTTTGCCTTTAATCTACATTTTAATATCTCAAAGTGCAGGGCAAATTGGCAAACTGTTTCTGTAGTTCTTAGTCCCTTCCAATCTGTGCCTCTTAAACTTGCCTTTAATCTACATTTTAATATCCTTTTATAGATTATAATAGCCAAAATCCTATTGTGTATCTTACACTGGTGTTATTGCAGCAGTAGATTGCTACTAATTAGAGCCTGTCTGTGATTCCTCATTGGATATAAGTCAGGTGGCATCACATGCAACATGGGATCCAACTGGCAGTGAAGAGCTTGGATTCCTGGCTACACGCACAGTGTGACTCGTCACGAAGTATGAATCACACCTGCTGCTCTAATTAGTGATGATTGGCTGCTGCAGTGGCATAATTTCCCAGATGCTGGTGTCAGCTATTGTAGAGGTTTTCAATCAAAATGATTTCAACACCCCTCCTTTGAGACACAGTACCTACAGTTCTCTGTTTTTGGAGATGTATCACCATAAGGGGATGTACCTGGTAGCTTGCTCCTTTTGCTAACACGTCTCTCTGTGGGCTGCTGGTGGGCCTTTCTCTCTGCATGCTGGCTTATCCAGAAGGCTGGTCCTTAAAAAGCTCATAAGATGCAGGCAGAAGGCATTGTTGGTATCCCTTGTAATAGTACCAAGATGGAGGCTAAGACAGAGCTTGTTGCTTCTATGTCGGTACTGAAATTCTGACTGTCAAAGGAACATGAAATACTTGTGTCCCACTCCTATGCATGCGATCACAAAAGATTGGACTGTGTTAGAATTTGTATCCTTATGAGAAATGTGTCCATTTGTGGCTATTTGTCATCATGGCCAAAAATGGAACACACATGTTTTAAGCCAGATGATTCCTTATGGTGTGCTGATTGCCTTCTTTATAATTTATTGGTAACTTTTTTCGTGATAGCTGGATATAACTATTGGATAAATTTTGCAGAACTAAATGGACCTGTGATCTAAATCAGCTCAGGAATTCTTCCATTTCTATGATTTTTTACTCGTGGAAAATGTGAAAGAAGCTATTGTTAATAATGTTGAATAACTGAACATCTTAAGGAAGGGAACAACTCATAAAACGGCTTCACAAAACTTTAAACTTATAAAAGATTTTTAAGCAATATAAAACAATTGAGTACAATAAAACAGGGTCTGTAATCCAGCATATTCTAAATGAAGCATGGTCATTAAGCCTCAAGTGCTTGCTGAACAGCCAAGAAAAAGTTAAGATTAAGGGCATGATCCTAGCTCAAAAAATCCCACTAGCTTTAGAACTCTGGGAACAGACAAAAATCTCCTTATGCTAGTATAGAGAAACAATTATTTATCTTGTTTAACAGTATGTTAGAACAACTCAGTGTGGCAAAAAGCGTTTAGATTTCCCACTTGCGTGGGATTAAAATAATGTTTCACAGGAATGGTCTGACATAAGTGATGCCGAGGAAGATACTGAACCTTTGAGTCGAGAAGATTCTGGCATTCAAGTGGATAGGACACCACAGGAAGAACAGGATCAAAACAAGAAGTCGACATCTCATGTCACCTGGAAGGGTTAGTTATTTGAAGCTTGTTTCACTTTCGTAGAGTGTTACTATTGGATGAAAACTTACTAAAATGTGCAAAAAGCTTATATTGACAATTTGAAATTCTGTATGACAAATGTGAAGGAGCTGCATGGTCTTTTAAATAAGGAATTCTAAAAGATTCTGACTTACTGTGATGTCTGAATAGTACCACCTTTTGAGTATTTATTGTATACTAAGTGGATACTTCCCTAGAAATTTTGGTTAGTCCTTTGGAACAGATTTTAAGGTGGCTGTTATAGTACTGTTAGAGATGTTCTGGTTACTAATTAGCCTTAATGGTGGCTATACTAATATTGCCACACTGCTTAATGTTAATTATACTAATGATTTATTTCTTCAGCTAAAGAGCAGGACTGCCAGTTCTAGAGTCTAGTTCTTTATTTGCTAATTATGTTTTGCAGAATGTCAATATTAAATCTGTACTGATTCTGAAGTGAAGACACCCTTACACTTGAAACTGAAGGCTCAACCTGACTTACAAAATCCCTTTCCTTTTTTTGTTTTTAAGTTCATGAAAATTCATCATGCAGCCTGTGGAGCTTCTCTTGGCAAACTATTCCTTGCTCAAGGTCCCAATTATCCCTTTGGATAGTTGCCTGTGTGTAGTTTGTCATCCCAGCTAGGATAACAAAGTCCAGTGCAAAGCATACACATGGTTTGATGGATGTGTTTTAAACTTCCTTGCCTTCTCTAACCAGAGAAAGTAGAAGAGGTGTGAAGTCAGCCACATGCTTGATTTCCTCTGTCCCCAAACATACTTCAAGTCAGCCACATGCTTGATTTCCTCTGTCTCCAAACATACTTTCTTTCTTTCTTTTTCTTTTCTTTTCTTTTCTTTTTTGCTTACTAATTCTTTCCTTTCCTTTCCTTTTCTTTTTTTGCTTACTAGGTGGTTTTCCTTATTTGTGGCTTTTCAGAATGACACTTGTTTTGGTATGCTCTGAAACACTTGAGGTTTATTATCTTTTTCACTTTGAGCATGTTCTTATGCCCATGTTCTTATGTAAGGTAAGCCATAAAATCCAAGTTGCAAAATTTGTTTAATTAGAATTTATAGTTTCACTAACTTACATTCTAAAAATGTTCAGTCTAATTGTGCAATGAATGACAAACTTTCCCTTTAGTATTAATGAAAACATGCCACTTCAATGGAAATATCTTCTCTGTAGGTGAACCTGATGCACGTACCTGGCTCCAACAACATGTGGTTGCTCCATATTGGACTGGTAGAGGAGTTCGTTTTTCCCATAGTTTACATTTTCATTCCAATTTAGCGGCTGTATGGTAAGTAGTTAAGTAGCTAAGTTTGTATCAAGAGGATTTCATTCATGATGACATTGACCACTAGACTATCTTAAAAACCATTTTACAGATTCACTTGCATGAGATAAAACATTACATTGACTTTGTTCCTCTTGTTGCCCTATGCGTCTGGTTGTTTTGTGGAGAGTAAATGCGTCTTGTAATGGTTTAATTGAATAGGACAAGTTTATCAAAAAAGCCCCCTTTCCTTTATGGAACTATTATGACATGTTTTGAATGTCTTTTGCTGTGCTCTTGGGAAGTCAGAATGTTGAAAGAGCAAGGTTTGGAAATGCATTAATAATGCACAATGAATTGAATTGATAATGGTCAAGCAGACTGGATGCTGAGAAGTGATTCGTTATGGAATGAGTTCCTTCTAAAGTGTAAGTTCTGGATGACCCATCGAGGCAGCAATTTTAATCTAAGATTGAATTAAGAACTAAGATTGTTACATATTTACACTAAAATTATCAAATTTCAGCCAAAAATATGAGGTTGTGTAAAAACAATATTTTTTTCAGTCTTAGAATGTTATTATTTTGTTCTTAGTGTAGATGATTTCTTTGGTTATATGGGTACATTCACTGGAGCTGAGCTGCAGTGGAAGGGGGTAGAAGAAAAAAATGTTTGATAATCTCTCCTAATGATCTCAGTTGTTACAAATGTTAATGATTTTTCCCTTAGGGAGCAGCATTTATATAACAGTGATCCTTTGTATATGCCAGAAGAGAGAATCCTCATCACCGAAACACAGGTCATTCGGGAAACAATTTGGTAAGACTGAAGAAATTGCCCCATGAAATTCATTTAAAGATTAGATGTGGAAGGGCAATCTCAGATATTCTGTAAATTTTTGTGGATAACAACCACATTCAAAAAACTGGTTAAGCCATTCTTTATTTCAGCATTGTTACCTACAGAAATTCTGCTACTGCCCATTGTTATATTTCTAATAGAATATCTTGTGGGGGTGGAATAAGAGTTCTGCATTCCTTGTTAAATAACACTGTGAACATGTGTCAGGTTATTAGCTGCAGGAGTGATCTTCAAAGGACTTCGCTTCCTTACACAAACTAATTCACTTCTGTATGGGACTTACCAGTGGGCAATGTAAAATGAATTCTGTTGCCCAAAATAAATGAGAGAAAAATGAGTTTCAAAGCAAGAGTTATATAATTGTGCAATGAATGACATTGCACAATTAAGGTACCCTCTTAATGCACTCTAAAAATTTCTTGTATAACATTAAGTTTTTAAAATGCTAACGGGGAATTATAACAGTTTCTCCACTACTGGTGTACACCAAAAGTGCCTCCTGAAATCAGTGGGATTTGCAGAGGCCTGATGTTTTGATTAGGATACTGTGAAGTGTGTGTGTGTGTCTTTGTGTGTGCACGTGTAAAATGTTAATTAATTTAATTTTAAAAAGCAGTGCTGTATAGACCTATGTTTTTATATATTTTTTTTCCTGCAGGCTTCTTTCAGGTGTAAAAAAACTCTTTATATTTCAGCTGAATGATGGAAAGATCACTGTGAGAAATGATATCACGGTAACCCATTTGACCCATGTAAGTTAAGTCTGTTTTAACAAAAATCTCTGTGGTATAATCAGGCATTTAAAAAGTGGTTTTAGCATGTGGGGAAAGGAAGGTATGAAAAATGATAACCTATGTTTCTTGAGTTCCCTATATTGGGCATTTGGCCTAAGAAAATCTCTTTTTGCTTTATGAAATCTGCAATGAAAGCTAGAGTTGATAAAGGGAGTATTTTATTGCTGACAAATCCCCTTTCTTTTGTAGAGCTCATTAAGATCAATGCTGGAAAGGATAGCTGCCTATGGGCAGGTTGTATTTAGGCTGCAAAAGTTCATTGACGAAGTCATGGGTCACAGCTCTGAAAGTGGAATACATGGGGCCATGTCCACTCCCAAGAAATCTGCAGAAGCACCATTTAGAACTTATCAGGCTTTTATGCGAGCTCTCTATAAATATTTCATCAGTTTCAAGGAGGAACTTACTGAAATTGAGAGGTGCATAATTAACAAAGGTAAAATACTATGCATAATTGTAGGATGGTTGGGGAAATCTGAAATTCAGGAGAACTGTTTAAGGAGGTGCATAATTAACAAAGGTAAAATACTTTGCATAATTGTAGGATGGTTTGGGGAAATCTGAAATTCAGGAGAACTGATAGTCACACATTGTAAAATGTGGAGTTCTATTTGTGTTTTGCAGATACTACAGTCACTCTTTCGATAGTTATAGAGAAGCTGTCACCTCGACTAGCACAGCTAAAGGTACTTCATAAAGTCTTTAGCACTGGAGTTGCAGACGTACCACCTGACACTCGCAATGTTGTAAGAGCTTCTCATTTGCTAAATACATTGTACAAAGCTATTCTTGACTATGACAACATTGGAGAAGCCTCTGAACAAACGGTATGTGGATGTGCTTGCTTTGTTGTAATTACTGTACTTTCCTATAGAAATCATATACAGTGGTGCCTCGCTTAGCGATGTTAATTCGTTCCGAAAAATTTCTGCTAAGCGATTTCATCTCTAAGCGAAACGCGGTTTCCTATTGAAATGCATTGAAAACCAGATAATCCATTCCAATAGGAATGAATTGCCATCCTTAAGCGAAAATCGACATAGGAAACATCGCTAAGCGAAACACGGTTCCCCAATTGAAATGCATTGAAACCTATTCAATGCATCTCAATGGGGGAAAAATACAACAACAAATTAAAAAAGAGTCAGAACAAAGTCAAATTTGGTTAACCAAGGGTTTATTAAGTGCACTTTAAACATTTTAAACAGTAAACTTTAACTTTATAAATAACAGAAAAACATTTAAAAAACAGCACACATGAGGCTGTTTAAACCATTGTTAAGCGAAACAGGGGACCCAAAATTTAATCGCTATGCGAAGCATGGTCCCAACCATCGCTAAGCGAAAATCGCCCATAGGGACCATCGCTAAACGAAGCACAAAAACGCTCCGAAAAAGTCGTCGCTAAGCGATTTTGTCGCTAAATGGAGCACCAGTTAAGCAAGGCACCACTGTATCTCGGCTGAAGGTTAAATTTGTTAATTCATCAGCTCAAAATTGTCTCTCTCTTTTCTCTTGATGCAAGAAAAATGACAAATCCTTGTGCATCTGATTGTTCTGATACTCAGCAGACTGTAGGCAGTTAAGGACTCTTAAGTATGTTAAAAATATTCCCTGCTGTGTAAGTGGATAAATGCCATCATTTTGTATGATACTTCTAGTATGCTGGGATGTAAAGCACCATTCGTGGCATTCTGATCGGGGGTGGCAGCTTTCCTTATTCCCTGCTTCACTCTGAAAATCTTCATGATTTTCTAGAGCAGCATCCCATGAGGCTTTAAAGGCTGCCAGAAGAAGCATATATCTGCTTTCAGAGTGAATTCATGTACTATTTATAAATTGGGAATCTTTTAAAATTTTCATTTCAGGTCTCCCTGTTATTTTCACTCTGGGTTGAAACAGTAAGGCCATATTTGCAGACAGTGGATGAGTGGATTGTCCATGGGAACTTATTTGATCCTGCTAAAGAATTTATAATTCAAAGGTAGAGAAACCGAGCATCTCTCATAAATATGTTCATGTTGTTATTTCTTAAGGCAGAGAATAGATGAAAACAGCTATAATGAGGTCACAGTAGGTATCAGTCCACAAGTAACCCTGTTTGTATCAGCTATTATTTTGTTGCTGTCTACCAACATCCTGTGTGGTCATCACTTTTTTTGTCTGTCTAGCATAGGAAATCTCCTTTTTTGTGGAACTGCAGTCAAAAGAAACTGCTGACTGTGATCTTTGCTCAGCCCCAGCAAGGCTGAGACCATGAATGAGCAACAAGCTGCTGCTCTACACTGAATTATTTGGGCAGTTGTTGTAATTTTAAAAAAACGATGAGCCAAATGTGTCCACGATTATGTTTTAATGAAAGACTCTTTGAATATTTAGCAGACTAGGTAAATATGCTGTGCACCCTTCAGGTGAATACTACTTCATTTTACATTAACAATGTCCTCTGAATACTAATTAGAGCAAATATATTTCAATTCTGTTTTAAAATTACACTGGAGATATGGAACTGAAGATGCACACTGACATAGGCCTGTCTATGTTCATGCTTGTTGTTTGTTTTATACAATGTTTAAGAGCTTGTTACCAAAATTTCAGGCTTTTGTATTTTTTAATGGCCATTTTGTGTGCTGCATAAGAATACATTTGGTGAAAAGCAGGGAGTGATATATACTGTAAGAGCCTGACCCATTTTAACTGTTGAAGGCCATTCAATCTATTCTAAATTCAATACTTTCTCAATTACATTGAGTTAGTATCACCTGAGATGTCATCTGGTCATAGGAGCCTGGTTCTTCTAATCTGCTTACCTACTGTGAATTCTAAACTCAAGCCACACACCCCAAAGTATCTGATAGTATTTCTCTGTAACCTGAAATCTGCTTCCAGATTATTTTCAAAAATGGAAATTATATACAGTGGTCCTTCGCTAGACGATGATAATCCGTTCCACTGAAATCGCTGTTTAGCGAAATCATTGTCTAGCGAAAAGCATTTCCCCATTGGAATGCATTGAAACCTGTTTAATGCATTCCAATGGGGAAGAATCGTCGTTGTCTAGCGAAGATCGGCCATAGGAAAACCACTTTGTGAACCGCCGATCAGCTTTTTTAAATTGCTGTCTTGTGAAGCTTAGGTCCCGAAAACACCTGTTTTGCGAGCGCGGAGGGAGTTGTCAAAATCGTCGTCTAGCGAAAATCGGTTTGCAAAGCAGGGACCAAACATTGTCCAGCGAAATTCTCCTATAGGAATCACTGTTTTGCGAATCGCTATAGAGATCGCAGAAAGTCAATGTCTAGCGAAAAAACTGTCATGCGGGGTGACTGTCTAACAAGGCACCACTGTAAATGCAGTCTTTCCAAGGAAGCAATTACAAATTCATCAGAACTAATTATCACCTTTGCCTGTCTTTGCAGAAACAAAAATGTTCCTGTTAACCATAGAGATTTTTGGTATGCTACCTATACATTGTATAGTGTATCAGAAAAGACAGAGAATGAAGAGAAAATGAGTGACAATGCTAGCGCCAGCTCCGGGAGTGATCAGGCACCCTCAAGCAAACAACACACCATGGTCTCTTTTTTGAAACCGGTACTGAAGCAGATCATTATGGCTGGGAAGTCCATGCAGTTGTTGAAGAACCTGCAGTGCTCCGAAAGCTCTCCTCAGCAGGCGGCATTGAGAGGTGAAAATGGCTGTCGTATAGCATGCTCTCTTGCTTCATGATCGTTCCAGATTGTCGGTCCTGATGTTTAGTAGCCTGTGATTCCCATGACATGGCTCATACATATTTGGAAATATTGGGTTCTGTTTCAGTTTCCTAAGTAGGTAGTTAACTAAATATTCAAATGCGACTCCCCATATTTTCTACTAAACTTTGACTCGTTTAATTGTAAAATATTCTTTAAAATGATTAAATTAAAGAATATTTTGAATGTAAACAATAACCTCTTGTTAAGGCTTCAGTTATATGAGATTAATGATGGTTTTTGGTATCAAATCTCCTTTTGCCAGAAAGGCTATTTCATAAACCCAGCTTTGCCAGTTTGTGTTGATATTTAAATATGTATACATTTAAGTGACTATAGGCATAGTTGTTCTCATGAGCAACAGTCATTTCATGAACATGTCCTAATATATATCAGTCATCTAAACATTTGAGGTCATTAAAGCTAAGTATCAGGTGCACAATCAAGCATAACATTGTGAGTCTGTTTAAGCATAGTAAATAAAGATTTAATTGTGTGAATTGGTGCTTGGAACCTGCATATAGTAATATTCCTGATTTTGTAATGTTGCATAAGAGCTCAAGGGCACCTATAGGTATTCTTTTCTTTCTTTCTCCAAACCTTTATTGGCATAAATACAGCTGGGATTACTAACAATAAACACAACGGGTTATAATTTGGAAGTTAATTTAAGAATCTCAAGCAGAAAAATAGCGACAGCTTCAGTGATACGGGAGGAAGAATCATTCAGAAAAATCTCAGGGGTGTTCGGCAGGGAAGATAACCAGGGTTCTAGTAGTGCCTTACGAATGGAAAAATGAACTGAGCAGAAAAACAATATATGGTCAAGTGTATCCGGAACCAAATGGCAGAACAGGCATAATCGATCCTCTTTAGGAATATTTGCAAATCGACCGGTATGGTTCGCTGAGGGAAAAATGTTAAATCGGGCTAACATAAATGCTCTTCTTAACCTGGGGTTGATAAGTGAGGAAAAATAATTTGGATGATAACCAAGTGAAGGGAAAAGACCAAAAGAAAGCGGGGAACAGGTAGGATTCAGTTTGGCTGCAAGAACCTCAAACTCATGCTGCCAGAGTTTAGATTTAATAAGAGCATGGGCCTGTTGAATTCCTAAATCATTTAGGGATTCTAGATTCAAATCAAGGGATTGAAGTTTAATCTCAATCAACTTCAGCCACTTGGAAAGGAAATTGTCTCTGAGTAGATCGTATAGTAAGGAATTGGGCTAGGAGTTTAAATGTAAACGAAGCCAATATTTAAATGTGGTGGACCAAGCAAGGGTAGAAGGGAGATGGGTACCCAATTCCAAAACTAAAGTTGAAAGACGAATCATGTTGGGGACTCCTAAGATTTTCCTGAAGAAGGCGGCTGCCAAAGTGTCAACATCGTGATCTATGGCCTCAATCCAAATAGGAGTTCCATATAGTAAGTGGGAAAGCAATTTAGTCCGAAAAATAAGCAACGCTGCAGGCACAAATTGATTGCCAGATGAGTAGTGAAATTTTGAGATGGCATTAAGATGGAGGCTAGAGGAAGATAGAACCAATTTTTTGTGGGGACGCCAACTGAGTTTATGATGCAGAGTGATACCTAGATATTTAAAGGATAAAACCTGCTGAAAGGTTTGTGCTCCGATTGTCCAGGGAGATAGTGATACAGAGTTGGAAAAGTTAATTATTTTAGTCTTGTCAGCATTTATAACCAGGTCGTTAGCTGAACAAAAAGTTTGAAATTTGGATAGGGTACGACGGAGACCAGCTTTTGTTAGAGATAATAGGACTGCGTCGTCCGCGTACAAAAGCACAGAAATTGGGGAACCATTAAGAGAGGGTGCAGCATTAGTAGAAGCAGAAAGAGAGGAAGGCAGGTCCGCTAAAAATAAATTAAAAAGTAGTGGGGCTAAGACACATCCCTGCCGAACACCTTTGTCAACTTATAATTTGTCAGAGAGCTCATAGGAATTTGGCAGCCGAATCTGACATATATTGGAGGAGTGGAGACTATAGGTATTCTTGCTTGGCAAAATGTACATCATGTATCCTGCCTCCTTGTTCCTGATTGGGTATAAGTGACTGGGAACGCTGTGCCTGTGGTGGCCCTTGGAGATCAGAGAACTGAATAGTCAAAACCCTGTTCTGTGCAACAGGAATTTTGCACTTACTAGTAGCAGATAGTTGCTAATTAAAGACTCCCATTTTCAGTTCTAGGCCGTGCACAATCTATATGCAATGAGGCAAAATATCATTTACCATGAAACTGAAAAAGGACATTTTATCCATCACCAATCTGCTGCTGACAATGATTTCACTCCTATTGTATAGGGGGATCATGACCAGTAGGGTTTTAGTCAATGAATAAAGTGAGTGGATGCTATGGTAACTATTGGTTCAATGGAATGCATGAAGCTAAGTTGTTACCTCCTTTTTGATTAGTGTTCTATAACAAAAATTCTTACATGGCCAAATAGGTGTATACCAGTGATTGAGAATTCCAGCTTTCTCTGTGACAAATTACTAGCTGAATCAGCTACTTTAGTTCTGTTCCTGGAATAAACCCATTGAATCAGTGGGGATTTGCTGAGTGAACTTCTCTTTATATCCCATTGATTCAGTGGGTCTACTCTACTTGGAGCATAACACTGGATTTCAACCAAATTTTTTTTTAAATGTTGTTTGAGTTTCTTTTTTTGTTTTCCTATTTTTCGGTTGTTTTGGGCATAAATGAACAACTGTAGAGTAAATAATGCTGTGACCAAGTTCAAGCCTCCAACTTGCAGCCTCAATGAGTAATAAGTGATTTTTAAATCTTAAAATCAGTGTCTGAGTAATTAATTAAGCTGGTTAAGTGCAGTGGTGCCTGTATGTTTGGGAACTTGCTACTCAATTTTAACTCCTAAACTTACTAGTTTTTCTGTTGTGCAATTAAGGAAATTAAAAATGGAGTTGGATGATGTCCATGATCCCTTGCTGGCTATTAATTTTGCAAGGTAATAGAAGAGGCTCAAAATAATTGATCCACCCCATTGTGTCAAAGCCCAGAATCTGATTTTTCAGGATATGTACAAGGGAATTCTTGCTGTTCAAATGGCAAATGTAGAGGCACCTTTTGAGAGATAATGCTACCAGATTTATTTATTTATTTATTTATTTATTTATTTATTTACTTACTTACTTACTTACTTACTTACTTACTTACTTACTTACTTATTGCACTATTCACTATTGGTCTGGGATTTGTCAGGATA